ATGAAGAAATCCAGGGCAATGGCAACCGCCATTATCAGTAACGCAAGTATCTTAAGAGAGTGAATATTGAGTGTCGGAAAACTTAAGACATCACCGCTTCAGCATTCGCCTTCTAACGCTTCCCCGGATACGCCTTTCGTGTGTTTCAATCAACGGCCGTGGCATTGTTGCCACAAGAGGAACGCGTGGGAGTAGGCCCCCTCCCGAAAAACAAAGAAAACCACGCATTGCCTTCGTGGAAGACAATGGAAACAAGTCAAAACGATAGCCCATCAGCAAAGCCCTCAAATGCTCCATCCGACACATTCCTGCCGGGTCCATGTCTCGACCCCTCAAAAATGCCGCGGACGATGGCTGATAACAGGGTGTGAGTATGTCAACCAAAAGCCGAGTCCAGCCCATCCTCTGCGGAGGAGGCAGACAAGCCACCAACGAGCACCCTCTTGCGGCAAATGGCTCTTCCTGTCTCTCTGTTAGCTCCCGCGCCGCGCAATTTTACCCGTTTTCCATTCCTCGATGGACGTTCCGTGGCTCCGTCCGTTCCTCAGTCTTGCCGATTATTTTTTGCCCAGTCCTATGTTCTGGGTCTAGCGCATGCCGGCCAGCCGCCGCGGCGAAAACCCGTACCGGCCGGCGTACGCCACAAGTCTCAGTCCGTCTCTCCTAGACCCCTGTCACAGTGCGTCTTCACCTACACCACCCTCTTCTCTCCCCTCTCAGAGCCTCTTTTCCTTCCTCAAGAACAGTCAGGCTCAGGAAATCCCGCGATTCATGGTCTGGTCCCGAGCACGTGGAACCGACCACCCCTTCTTGAAAGTCCCCTGTTCTCTTTCCGATCGGGAACGCAGGACAGATGAGACAAGCGCCGGTGTTGAGTCGCCTCCAGGGATTCAGACTAACAACTCAAATTCCATTCCTCGGAACCGGGACCTCCATCCCCTGCACTTGTCCTAGGTCAACCCTCTTGAGTGTCTATATACCAAGACAGGATAAGATATCAAAAGACACGACTGCACACGCCCCTCCAAGCATGACGAAAAGCAATGATATCTGATTAGAGTTGAGTCTATGCCATCGGCTACGCTACTCAGATGAACCCGCCGCTAGTCAATGTGCCAATTGTCAGCACACACCACCACACCCCTCTACCCTCCTTACCCAAACATCACCACCATTGCGACGCGTCTCCACCAGCTCAGGCACGACGCACGTCCGCGGACTCAAAACAAGGAAAGGCCAGGTAGATAACCAAGACATAACAGGGCCGAAGGGGATCTTCCCAGATTCGTGGGATGGCAGCACCGAAGATCACTCACTCACTATCTTGACCTCCGAGTGGCCCCAGTCTCTCGTCCGAACCAGACGCGTCCTGTCTCCGAGGCTAGATTAAGGCGCTTTTTTACATGGACAGGTACGGATAACCGATGGCGTATGCCAAGTGGCGCAGACAAATCGTACCGTCCCCTCTCAATGGTAGTGCGTTATGTAGTTCAACTTTTCCCCTCACATCTCATATACCGTGAAAATAGTCTGGTTCGGCGCTGTCCACGCGAGGTTCACTCTGCAGATACGAAGAAAAACCAAATATCTCAAATGCTGAACCAGTTCACGTCCACAGATGGCTTGCTGTCCGAATCTAGTTGGAAGGCGTTCAACAAGCGCACAGAAAAACCAAGTATCGTCAACCATGGCAATTGTTTCTCGAGCCACTATCACATCTCATACTGGCTTTCTTGGTTTTTTCTCACACGAAAGCCACGAGCAGTTCATATGAGTCTGCCTACCTCTTCTACCCCAGGTCATGAGGCTGTGGGCTAGCCACAGCTGGAGTTCAGCAGCGCCACCATGAGGTCGGACCTCTCCGCGTTTGCTTTTGTGCTTTCGTATCCATACTAGCTGCAATATGGTTCCTGATATCAACTTTGGAGAGTTCCAAGTTGAACACAAACTTTACAGAATACCTGGGTTCACTGGAAGATACTCCAATGAGACACCCGTGCTAGCGATCTTCTGATCGTCTCATGCTCATGGGCCTACGATGGGCCAGCCACGATGACTGCATCATCTTCACTGATAGATCATAACAATGACGCGAGAGAGCACCTTATTGGTAAATGAATCTGCGTACTATTGAATTTCACGTGAAGAAAAGGGAGACCTAACAGATTACAGAACCATACTCCCAAGTGGTGCGTCATGTCTCGATATCCGGCTAAGAGCCTCAGATAAGCGAATGTAGGGTCAGCACCGTCAGATAGCCTGTCAGGGAACAGGCATCGTAGGATTCGGGGACCAAGTAATTTTCTGACCAGACCGGGTAAGATTTTACAAGTAGGTAATCACGTAATCACCAATACCAGCGGCAGCCAAGAGTGCGGTAAATCAGATCGGATGCGCACGCACGTAATGCACGTTAAAATGACAGGTCTCCAAGGCGTGCACAAGCGAAATCCCATATGCGCCGATCAAACGAGCCCGTTATCATGGCCAACGCTGAACTACTTGAGATTAACCATCAAGATTTGGAATGAGAGTGCATACAGCGATATCTGTAAACTCCGTACCTCCACGAAGCTGGGCCGTGTACGTCCGTAGCACTAAGATTGAACGAAATTTCACCCTCATTCTTTTCATTCTTTTCATAAAGAAGAAACCCAGCGGCTCGCACGCAAGTTTGCATTAGGAGACAGAAGAAGAAGAGAGCTTCGCACGCAACGAAAACCTCCGGCACGTTTCCAGTAAATTAACGCCCGATCGAATCCCGCCAATCGCGGCTCCTAGATCCCGCCGCGCTCCCACTTCCCAACTCCACCTGGTCGACTCTTCTCGGTTACATCGCGGGAAGCCCCCGGCGCAGCAGCGCGGATTACGGCAGTCTAACCCCGCATTTTCCGCCGGCAGTCCATACTGCTTCGTAACTGCTTCGCAGGAGTGCCAGGGCAGATTATATCTCCTCGAATCCCGTGCGTTGAAAGCCATGCCGGGGTAGCCGGGGCGCCAAGTGACGTCGGCAATGAAGCTGCTTGGAGTTTGTTGTAAATCTGTGCGCCTTGAAGAAAAGAGATGCCGAATGAGGTCAGAATGGGTGACGGGCTTTCGTGAACATGTAGGTTACTACAAAGTTAGGAATCGATTATTGTTCCGCTCTCTTTGAGATACCTTATATAATCAGATAGTCGAGTCAACTTCGAAGTTTGGTGTAGAACGTCCCAAGAAACTTTAACCTTTGGACATCATCCCATCCACGGCCCCGGGTTCCCCTTCCCCACGCCTCCAATAGCCGGGTTCCCCTGATTCGTGGTTCCCTAAACTCCCGAACTGGATGGATCTCGCCCGGGGTGCTGACAACACCACGATGGTAGCCGCCAATGAAGACTCGTTTACCATGGGCTTAGCTCACTGTCGTCCTACGGTCCAGGAGAGCTTATATCAAGAGCGGATATGATCGTCACCCCAATTGGTAACTCCCGTATGAGCTCCAGGGGATCAAGGCGCTCGTGATCAATATGCTAGGTCCTCAATCTACCCTTTCGAGGCAGTTACGGAAGGTAGGTCCACGAAACGGGTCCGGCATTACTGACGATTCGTGCGGATAGATAGAATGTTCCCACGTGGACTGTGACATTGACGGAAGCTTGCTTGACGTTGCTGGGGACCCCGCGGAAGAATAGATGAATTGCAGAGAGAAGCGGTCCTGGGCCAAGAGAATCAATTTCAACATGGAGTCAAATACAGATACCTTAAACTGAAAGGCAGGATATATAAAACTTGATCATTCGTTTCGCAGTTCCTGTACCTATTAGACCTTCCAGCCAGCCTATCATTCAATAATCACAGACCAGTCCCTCACTTGCAAGCTCTTGTCTCCATCCACCAGCCAGTCCCGCCATGAAGTTCTCCGGAGTCCTCGCCCTCCTCCCCCTGGCGCTCGCCAGCCCGACGCCGACAACCGTCGAGAAGCGCGCGACGACCTACTGTGGCCAGTGGGACTCGGCCGTCACCGGCACCTACACCGTCTACAACAACCTCTGGGGCATGTCCTCCGGCACCGGAAGCCAGTGCACCACCCTCACCGGCCTCTCCGGCAGCAACCTGCAATGGTCCACGGCCTGGTCCTGGTCCGGCGGGCAGTACAACGTAAAGTCATACGCCAACGCTGTTGTCAACGTCAGCAAGAAGGCTTTGAGCGCTATTAGCAGCATCCCCTCGACCTGGAACTGGAGGTAAATGCTTTCTCTTTCTCTTCTCCCTTTCTTCACATATGAAGTATCAAAACCACAGACGTAAAGCTCAAAGACTTGATCAAACTAACATCACTCAATTGAAGCTACTCCGGCACAGGCATCGTAGCAAACGTAGCCTACGACCTCTTCACCTCCTCCACAGCTACCGGCGACGCCCAATACGAAATCATGATCTGGCTCGGCTCCCTCGGCGGCGCCGGTCCCATCTCCGCCACTGGCAGCACCATCGCCACCCCGACCGTCGCCGGCCGCACCTGGAACCTCTACAAGGGCGTCAACGGCCAGATGACCGTCTTCAGCTTCGTCGCGCCCAGCAACGTCCAGAGCTTCAGCGGCGACCTCAAGGCGTTTGCGACCTACCTCATCAACAGCCAGGGCCTGCCCTCCTCGCAGATCCTCCAGAGCATCGGCGCCGGTACAGAGCCGTTTGTCGGGTCGAATGCCAAGTTCACCACGACTGCTTACACTGCTTCTCTCTCTTGATAGGTTTCTGGCCGAGTCGAAAGTTAGGCGACGTTGGATGGGGAAGGGGGCCCGCTGGGAACTGAGACAGACATGTGGGAAATCATATGGGAGGGTCAAAAAGAAAGCTGTCTCGAGGACCACAATTCGCTTCACTGTTCATACTTATTTCAAAACAAGTATATATCACAAATGACCAAAGATTGCGACTTGACACGAGAGTAAGACCGGACACTAGAACCGTTGAGAAAGAGAAAACTTTGGTAAAATAGGTTCTTTTTCTTTTTTTTTCTTTCATCGCCAATAACCAGGCGCTCGATAGTGTGCCATGCTCTGCTGCGCAGAGACCTCAAGCCTCCCCGACCAGAAGCAGTGTTGCGGTCTGATGGTATTGAGCTCTACCACGCCTCCAACGGCAGCCTTCTTTGCAGCCTCGTACGCCGCCCTAGTCTCGATGCGAAACGCCTTGATGGCCTCTAAAACGTCCCGCATACCATGTAGCCCTGCCGTTCTGGGAGGTTCCAACTCTGGTGGCATAACGATGGCGTCCCAAGCCGCGTGGAAGATGAGAACTCCTTCCGGGACGCCGGCTTTCACGTGCGTTGGGGAGGCTGGTCCGGCTCTGGTTCTTAGCACTGGGTTCGTCACGAGTTTCATATACTCGTTGACAGCAAGGTGTTCGGAACTCGGAATTCCATCGCCGACCCAGATGTCCCGATCGAATTGACTTCCGCCCCATATGTCACGGTAGCGCATAATCTCGCCCCCAATATCGCTGTAGGGGAAAGCGCTCAAACGGCCTGTGGCGGGCTGAGGGTGGTCATTAGCGACTTTGTCACCCGCTGTTGCTTGCTTTTTCCTCGTAGCGTTAGGTCGTGGCCGAGGTCGGCGCTGGTCGCCGAAAAAGCTGAAGCCCACTCCCTCGCCCATATTCATAAGCTCTTCGGCGTCTAGGTCGTCCGCGGCTGAAAAGCCGGCGGGATCCTCAATCGGATCGGCTTCGAACTCTAGACGAAGATGACGCAGGCCGCGCAGGAGGACTGGACCACGTCGCAATGACGATTGAGAGGCAGTCTCTCGAATCGCGCGCTCCTGGAGACCGGACAGCGTGAGGAAGTGCACTACCTTGTCTATCAACGGCCCGTTGGAGCGACGTGGGATCTTGGTCAGAGTCAGAGACGTCAGCCGGGGGTTCATGTCCGGCTCGAACGTCTGTGGGAAGGCCATCTCAGATCGTTCCCTAACCACTGTCTCGGCTAGCCAGAGTCGTGCCATGGTTGACAGTCCATCAGTCTCAAGCGTCGGTATCTGCGTCACGAGCGAATGGTGAATCCTCAACACTCGAAGATTGGATGAGAAGACGGGCCTGAAGACATGCACGCAGCCCAGAGAGCCGCGCAAAGTGACGTTCTTGGGCCATGGGAGGAGATGCTGCTGATTCAAAGCAGATCCTTGGACCGGTAGGTAGAACGGATCATCGCAGGAGAACTCTTCCAGCTGGCCTTGCGAGCTACGTAGCAGTCTCTCCACACCTGAAGAAGTGATTTGAGTGTCTGAGATGTGCAGGTGGGTGATCCCGGAGGGTGCAGAGCAGACGTCGAGGTACGGCACGTCTGACCAGTCAGGTACCGGATGATCCATGCCTCCCGCAGTTGCGGCCTTAACGTAATCCACACTGTCTCGTCTCAAAGGAGTTCTGCCATTGGCTCGAACTGCTTCGTCCTCCTGCAGATCGCGACTCGCATCGGCAGAGTAGATGGGGGCATCCACGAAGTGCCGCTCTGCATGGCTGAAGGTCCCGCTCGAGTCAGATTCTTGGATAAACATGAATGGCCCAAAGGTGTCGTTTCCTTGACCATCAAAGACAAGTTTGCCCTCGGCCATGCATCGAGACTGAGACCTCAAAGATGGACTATTGAAGCAAAGTGCAGCAAATTGACCAAGAACACCGTCTGTAACTCTGTTTTCGCTGATATCCAGACTCCACAGAGAGCTCTTGAAAGCCTGGAAGAGCATCACAGCCAAAGAGTCGTTGATCTCCCGACGCCTCGCCTTGAGGACCTTTAATCTGCGTAGGTTGCGACGTCCGTGTGCTGCAGTGATCAGAGGCTGCAGGGAACCTGGCAATCCGGAAACGTCTAGAAGGATCAGCTGCTGGAGCTTGTCCGACGTATAGAAGCTGTTGGGGAGTTGATTTTGGCAGCGAGCGACACTAAGAACCAACAGGCCTTGACGAGGATCGGGAGGTGTCGTATTTGCTTCGGACACCGGGGTGGCTGTCAAGAAGGCGGGGTCCGCCTCGGCGTGGCCGTCCAAGAGGATGCATCTGAGGTTTGGCAGTATTTTGGGCAGCTGACGCAGAGTCTGAGGTATTGTCCTGATGCTACTGTCGGACGAGAAGTGGGCAGTGTCTTTTGCAAAGTCGCGAAAGTCGAGAGTAATAATCAGAGCCAGGGTCTTCGGCCGCAGGCGCTGCATGCGGTCGAAGACAAATGCCAGGTACCAGTCAAGGTCTTTCGCACTCCACCGAGATAGTAGCGAAAAGTCAGCAAATGGTATTTCCTTAGTTTGACGGGTGTAGATCGAGACAAACATACCGTCACTTGGATCTAGTCCCAACCGTCGAACGGTGACCAACGGGTCGTTCCATAGGCGGGGTGTGAAGACGACGTGGAAACGTCTATTCACAGAACAAAGACTCGCAAAGTCCTTGTCTGCGACGTATGGTGCCACCAACTCAAGCCAGTCGAGTTTACTGACGGCATCCTGATATGATGGCAGCATGGCCATGGCCATGATGGTGTTGGTGGCTTTGTTTGCGCCTCCTGATTGAGACCACTTGGGAATCCTATGCCAGGATCATGGGGTATGTACCAGAAGATGAAACAGCTTGCCGCCTTTCTCTACTGGTTTGGGGGTCAGCCTACGCCGAAACAGCCGCCGATGCAGAGAAGCAAACGTGGTTGCGTTTACTGCTGGGCAAATGTGCTGGAGCGAGATGGGCGGGCGACACGTTACAGCGGCCGATCAAACAGTCGATGATCGTAGAGAAGCTCGCATTACGGACGGCATATCCAGCTAGTCGCGATGTGGAAAATTGCAAGTGTGGCATCCACGAGACTGAGGCGGGAAAAAGAAAAGTGGCCTGAAAGTGGTGAGATTGTCGTCGCCAGACATGAGAATGATGCAGGTTCCGTTCCAGTGAACAATGGCGCGCCGTCCAGGCTGCGGCCCTGGAAGAGATCGGAGAGTCTTTGAGGACAAGCTGTCAGGGTTGTGCTTGTGCTAAAGAGGTGATGCAGCGATGCTGAGAAGCAGGGAGCGAATACAGGAATGCAAGTCGAAGCACGGCGGCCTGGAAGTCGTTGAGGATGGCCTTCAGCAGATCTGCATTGAACTTCAACGATAAGCCGCAATCGTGCCGAAGCAAAGACGACCTTTCAGACGGGATAGACACGTGGGTGACAAGGGAACGCCCGGTGACAGTGACAGGGCATGGAAGTGGTGCTGCTGTGGTGATTGTTCGCTGCATGTGACGATTGTCGGGCAATCATTGCTGGGACCGGGCGTGTAAGATTGCACCGATTGCTTGAGTCGCCTCACATTCAGTATCTGCTTGCTCTTCTGTGTCTGCTTTCTTCGCCTGGCTTGCCTTGTTCTGGGCGATCGGTCGGGGTGGTGTTGGTTGACGTCAGCAGCCACTCGAGGTTGGGCTGTGCATGCATGCGTGCCAACGCGGTTCGTCCGTACCGCACGTATCGCAGATGACCAAGGGTCTATCTGTACGACAGTGATATCCGTAAATCGCAGGCCGACATGTTTTGGAAATCCGAAGACATGAATTCGCGGGGTTCGGAAAAGGTTGCCGTCGTCAGCCGGGCGAGATTGACAACCCGTGACCCATGGCTCTACCTGGAAGCTCCCGAATTACCTAAGCAAAAAAACAGATACGTACCTCGGGACTCCCCGGCGTGTCCGGCGTCTTCTTCCCGTGGCTAACGCGGCAACACCGGCAATGGCAGTAGAGACCCGCAAGATCACGCCAAGGTATCCTCTCTACTAACCTTACGAGACGACATGTCCCGAAGCTAACATTGACTTCGATAGTCTTAGTCTGCGCGAGCGAGTCCATCTGATAGCTCACGCAATGCGGAGCCGTGAGCGGTAGGCGGGTCCGACGTAAAAAAAAATTAAAAAAATGACAACGGCCAGGGTCCTTCCAACTTCCAAGCCACCTCGGCGCTAATTCTCCGGAGCTGCGCCCCGAGCTGCTGCCCCACACAACCACTGGCGTCGGTGTCTCCACTCCGTGGCTCGCTAGCTTCTATCCAATCCCGCTCCGTCTGTACCCCCGCATCCGATGCTCACCAAAAGGTCGAGACCCGGCCGACAGCCGGTGCTGCCCCACGGCATCGCACGCACCTAACGGCTTCCCACACCAGAAAAGCCCAGAGCAACTCGCAGGTTTTCCTAACGGAAGCAGCTCCGCACGTCCACCGTCACCACCATCCCTTCCACCACACTACACCTTATTTCACCCATTCATCAGCCCCCGAATAAGAAAACCATCATCCTTCTGACCAGACAACCACCCATCACAACATCCTCCGACAAATTGTGATTCCCTATTCATCTTTTTGTTGCTAGTCAATTGACACGAAAAACAGGGAATCGTCCAGCCTTGAAGTTGTTGTAGCCTTGCAATTTGAGGATTCCAAAGTACATGTGTTCGGGCAATGTAGCGCCGATGCCCGCAGCAGACTTGATCGTTCACTCATCGACTAAACGAACCTAAACGAAAAATGTAACGGATTGAGGCATATTCTAACGACGACGATCCTCTCCTCTGCCGCATCTTGCTTGTCAAGCGCCCGTCCGTCCGTCCGTCCCACACCCACGCATTCAACTTCCACCGGACAGCATACACTAAAACCACGAAAAGATGCAAATACCAAAAACGGATTTGGTCTTGTTTTGATACGTTACCTCGGCACATGGAGTCATGGGCATCTTCCTGCTTCTTATCTCGTACATCGTACTCCCCGAACTCGCAACAGCATCCTCTTCCTTTCGCTCTGCAGCTCCTGGTACCTTACCTGGGTGGTACCTATCAGGTCCCACTGCCATGTCTCTGCACGATGAGATACTGCACCACGCCAGATGCAGCGGCTGCCCGAATCCGATGGGCTGCATACTCACCCCTGCGAACGCCGTGCTCTCTTGTCCTTCAGGGCACCAGGGGTGGCCAGAGGGGGCAGGCACATGCATCTGGTCCTGACAAATTCCTCCTGCCCTACCTATCATTGTCCTGGACTCCTGCATGCTGGCCTGCTGCAGCTTGCCCACCGACAGCGGACATTTTGCATCTTCAGTGGAACACTGACATCCCATCCCGTGCGAGAGAAGCAGCACTGCAGCAGTAGCACCAGGAGCAGCAGCGCCATACCTCTCCTAGCAGGGTTTTCTGTACGACGACGACGACACCGAACGACGACAGCGCTGAGCGACAAACCCCCCTCCCCCTGCCATGTCCCGAGAATATGGTCAAGATCGACGGTTTGACAGGGTCGCCGCAGGCTCCGAATGCCGACGCTCAGGCCAGCCTGACTGGGCTGCCTGGATGCGCTACCACCCTACCAATCTGGACCTGGGAATCCAAGCTGCCCATTCATCAGCCCGAACCTCGACTCATCTCATCTCTCGACCAGTGTTGCACCGGAACGGCCGTTCGGACAAGGTCACCTAGGTCTAGGCATTTCCGGGGTGGGTATGTATGTGTGTGTGTCTGTGTGGTTCAACTGCAGCACTGCTTAATCAAACACCCTTTGCGCCCGTAATACTGAGAAAGCGGTGTTCAGTCTCGTCTCACTCTCTGAGATTGAGTTGTGGTGTTTCCCATACCACTCACTCGCTCTCTTGCAGTCTTGCACTGCAGAAGGGCCGCGTTCCTGATTTCAATTTGTTGCTTCTGTCTTTCATCGCCATGTAGACGCCTTCGGCCCGTCTCTCGTTTCATTGCCAATCAAAGCGATTCCCGTCATTGGAAGAAAGAAAAATACCACATGGGAATAGTTACACGGCAGGCCGCCTTTCCCGACCAACCACGAGGCTCCCACGACTGGCAACGTTTCGAAACAAAAGAGGCCAGACGGAGATTTCTCTCATCTTATGTTACACTTCGGAGTCTCCTGTCAGGCTGTCTAATATCACGTCGTCCAGGCACTCTGGCTACTACCTAATAGGCTACAATAGTCTCCTCGTCCGGGGTGGCCTGCCTTGCCTGGCTCCAAACCACCGACTCCCGCCTTTTTTCTGCCCATCGGGCATTGGCTCTTGACCCTGCCAGCCTGCTCTCTTCTCCTCCTCCCCTCTTCCTCTCTCCCCTTCGCCCCCGGTCGATTGGCCCCCCTGCCTCTGATCATCTACCCCTGCCCATTCCATCATATGCATCGGTTCGTCGCCCTCTCGAACCTATCAAGGGGCCCCTAGATTCCAGAGCCATTGTACCACAGAACCAAGTGTTATGGATACTTTGGTAAACCTCTTGCCCCTGCTTTCCCACCAACCCTATTTCGTGATCCCGTCAATCATCCCGATTCGCGCGGGACGTAATCCTGATGACGGAAGTTTGCCTGTAGAATGGGGCATTTCGAACTACAGTTGAACTAACCACAACGCCGATGAGCTAACCATACTACGTAGACCAGTATCCGTAGTCTCTCTATCTAACCCGAATATCCCCAAAACCCTGACGGCCTGAACCGCGCCGTTTGCCCCTCTCCTCCCCGCCCACTCCGGCTCTCGACTCGCGTCCCGGATCGTCCACGAGTCCAGGTCACGATGGGGCGACTTGTGAGAAGAGCCTGAGATGGCAACGAGGAAGAAAGAGACTTCACCGGGGCCCTGGCCCTGGACATGGGACATGGGAAAAGAAGGCTATCAAGCACGTTCGTCCCCATCACGAACCCCTACCCCTACCTCTGTTGACCATTTCCTTGGTGGATTGAGCAAGAGAGAGTAGCGGTGGTGCCTCTTAGTCTCGCAACACAGAGAGAAAGAGAGAGGAACGACGCCAAAATCTGAGACAAGCATGCCTTCGCTCTGGCCGTGCCTTGATCTTGACCCCTGGTCCACCCGCGCAACCTTGACCACACACGCACGTCTGGAAGTGGGGATACTTGGTGGCCCGGACGGTGATCGTCAAGCTCACCTACCGAGACGAGAATGGGACGAGAGGGCACCTCAGCTGAATGTTGTCGTTGTCAGTTTGATGATTGCAACGCTGTTACAATAGTTACGCGTTGGCCATTTTTCCACAAGGAAAATGATCCTACCAGATCGGGGGGGAGGAGGATCAAGTATCAACCAAATCAGATATCACCTACAGTAGCATGCATCAGTACCAAGATTCTAACGGGCAAAACTGTCTCCTTTGAGTCTAGATTGGGGAGATGCAAGACGTAGCTGAAGGGGTGAGATTCCCCAACAACCTGTCAAGTCTACGCCATGCAGAAGAGATGTGATAGAACTTCGGCTGACACCTTGTCACCTACCTACTCTGCGTCGCTCTCGGACTTCAGCTTTTTATGTTTCTTCGTATCAACAGTAGTCTGTTAAGTGCCATGGATTTCACTGACTATGGACCCGCTCTGGGGAAAATATCGGGTTTCTTTCAATCATCTTCTCTTCTCTCTCACAGACGATAGTAGTGTGACAATTTAATCGTAGAAACAATGTGTGATCTCTTTCATTCTTGCGCAAACCAGTAAAGGGCGTTTAAGCGTGTTATT